ACCCAAGAAACTGAAACAGGGTCAGCAGAGTGAACGAGCACAGCTGAAGCACAACCCTAAAGGACAGACAGACAGGAAGAGGAACAGACAGGTAACGTGTGTGTGTGTGTGTGTGTCTGTGTGTCTGTCTGTGTGTGTGTGTGTGTCTGTCTGTGTGTGTGTGTGTGTCTGTCTGTCTGTGTGTGTGTGTGTGTGTCTGTCTGTGTGTGTGTGTGTGTCTGTCTCCGTCTGTCTGTGTGTGTGTGTGTCTGTCTCCGTCTGTCTGTGTCTGTCTCCGTCTGTCTGTGTGTGTGTGTCTGTCTCCGTCTGTCTGTGTGTGTGTGTGTGTCTGTCTGTGTGTGTGTGTGTCTGTCTCCGTCTGTCTGTGTGTGTGTGTGTCTGTCTCCGTCTGTCTGTGTGTGTGTGTGTCTGTCTCCCTGTCTGTCTCCGTCTGTCTGTGTGTGTCTGTCTGTCTGTCTGTGTGTGTCTGTGTGTGTGTGTGTGTGTCTGTCTGTCTGCGTCTGTCTGTGTGTGTGTGTCTGTCTGCGTCTGTCTGTGTGTGTCTGTCTGTCTGTGTGTGTCTGTGTGTGTCTGTGTGTGTCTGTCTCTGTCTGTCTGTGTGTGTCTGTGTGTGTGTGTCTGTCTGTCTGTGTGTGTCTGTGTCTGTGTGTGTCTGTCTCCGTCTGTCTGTGTGTGTCTGTCTCCCTGTCTGTCTCCGTCTGTCTGTGTGTGTCTGTCTGTGTGTGTGTGTCTGTCTGTGTGTGTCTGTCTGTGTGTGTGTGTCTGTCTGTCTCCGTCTGTCTGTGTGTGTGTGTCTGTCTGTCTCCGTCTGTCTGTGTGTGTGTGTCTGTCTGTCTGTCTGTCTGTGTGTCTGTCTCCGTGTGTGTGTGTGTGTGTGTGTGTCTGTGTGCACTGCTGTTCCATACTCATCCTTACACACTCACATACTGCATCCTGTCCCTCATCAACAACAGTGTGTGTCCTTTGTGTGCTGCAGAGGACTGTGTGGGTGACGTGACAGCAGCTCATGTGATAATATTCTGGTTTAACATTCCCACCATCCAGTCCTGTTTCATGAAGTTAAGGCTGAGGAAGTAGTGTATAAGCCTGCCTCTGGAGGAGAAGCTGTGGTGCAGCGGGCTGTGGAGAGTTCGTCTTTGGGTTCAGTGCTGGATCTTCTGATGCCTCTTGAGGTTGCTGGGGTGGGAGAAGCGCCGGTTGCAGACGGAGCAGCTGAAAGGTCTCTCCCCGGTGTGCACGTTGCGGTGGATATCCAGCTGGCTCTGGCATACGAAGCTTTTGCCACACAGCAGGCAGGTGTAGGGTTTCTCCCTGGTGTGCCTGGCCATGTGCTTCTGCAGGTCCGACTCCATGAAGAAGCGTTTGGTGCAGATGGTGCAGCCGTACGGACGCTCCATTGTGACGGCCTGGTAGAAGGACAGAGGGAGGGCTTTGTGTTGGACCGCAGGGTGGTGTAAAGTCAGGAGGTGCGTGTCACTGGAGGAGTTGATGCTGGAGGTTCCTGGAGGGTCATTGTGAGGAAGCACAGACCCATCTCCGGCTGAGCACAGACCCGAGGACCGAGTCGCGTCCTTGTGTCCGTCTCGTCCTCTGGTTGTCTGGACTGCATCTGACGAGTCACCCCCCTCCCCTGCGGTCTCCTTGTCCGATGCCCCTCCCCTATCAATGACGATCACTTCTGGCAGCGGGCACTTGGAGGGCTCCAACGCCGCCTGGTTATCTTTGCTGTTGTCCTCACAGGAAGCTGTACCCAGCCCGGTGTCAGCACCTTTACTCGAAGGCCGACGGTCCCCTGCTCCGGTCTGCTGCGGCTGGGAACTGTGAAAAGTGTCGCCGCCCTCAATCTCAGCCGTCCCACCGTCAACAAAGCCGACGACGCTGGATCCACTGACCTCTTTTCCTCTCAGGTGTCTGGATGTCTGGCCGTCGCTGACGCCGAGTGACGTAGCAGTGGTGGAGGCAGCATCTCGTCTCGGCAGCTTGTGGTCAACAGACCCAGCGTCCACTGCTCCCTCCACCTTGACGATCAGCAGCTCGCCCTCCCCCTCAGGCTCTGCTGACTGAGAGGACACACCCACTTTGAGAACAACACTGTTCTTCACATCATCAAACTATTTCAAATGTAATCATTACAACACACGTCCAAATAAATAGTTACATAGTAACGTGTTACATATATAAAAAACTGTTTCCATGCAGAGCAAAGCTGCAGCCTGTCTGCATGAATCCAGCTGATACTTCCACGTACCCACCGTGATGTTTTGGTTTCTGGTTTTAAAGGCCCATTTTCACAGGCAGACAGGTAACTAGACTGTGCACATTTTAAATATTAGGACTGTTTGTATTAGTTTGCAGTGAATGACGACAGTCTGAAGCCCACAGGCATCAACAAATACTGCGTTTCCTCCCTGAGACGTTGTGCTGCTTCTCTACTGTGCCGTCATCCTCCAGATATTTATGGACCCAACATTAGATTTCTTATTCACGTTCAACAACGACAAGAACACTTTTCACTTTAAATGAGGGACGCACCACATGACAGCAGCAGCTAGCTGGAGGGCTATCGTATCACGGAGGACGCTAACAGCAAAGCTGTGGACAGCAACTGAGGGTAGCTGCAAACACAAACCCTCACATATTTTGCCAGTGCAGAAATTTGGCTTGGAAAACAGAGACAAGTGAGCATTTACAGGCTTTTGCTAAATGCAGACACATTAGCTCCTGTTGCTGTAGGTGTTCTTGCTACCACCTCTGAATGAAAACGCACCGGAAGAAAGACAAAGCCAATAATGTTTGTCACTGTTGTCTGTGGACGTTACGACGTCAGACATGCTAAGAAACATCACATCGTGAGGGGAAAGTGTTCACAGGCAGTGGGACAGAAGTGTGAGTACACTCTGTTAGAGAGCGCATTAAAGCACACACACCATGAAAGAACTAAAGCACATGTGACTGTGGTCACAGACACTCACACTCTATTATAGAAATGTCTACATCTGTTCTATTGTGTTCCCTGCAAGCCCAGGGAGTCCTCATAGCTCCTCCCACGACTGGAAAAACAGAGAGCGATGGAAGGAGGAGGGTGGGGGGAAGTTAGTGAATCAGGAAGTGTAGAGGAATAATAAGCAGGAAGTGAGGTCAGCTACAAGAGGATGAAGAGTGGAAATACACTTGGTCCAGATGACCTTTGCAGGTATGAAGGTGTCTGTGAGAGGCTGTTGAAGCATGGAGAAGAACTGTACTGGTACAGATCTGCCAGAACGAGGCTGATGTTCAGAGCTGCAGTAACTACAGAGGGACGATGAGCCACAGCAGGCAGACGTGGGACAGAGCTGTTGAAGCAAGGTTACAGAGATCAGTGAGCAGAAGATGTTTGCTTTGAGGGTGATGATGGAGAAGAACAGAGAAGGTCAGCTTCACTGTGTCTTTGAGGATGAGAGAAAGCAGATGACAGGCTGCTGAGAGAGGAACTGTGGTGCTGCATGGAGGTCAGCAGTGTCAGAGCAGTGTGTGAGGTGGTGCAGGACACGTACGAGGAGACGGTGGTGAGGTGTGTGGGTTACATCAGGCATCTGCTCTGAGCCTGTCCGTGTTACACCTTCATGGATCGTATGTTTTAAACGGGGGTAGAGTAACAAAGGGAGGTCTGCCGGGGCCACTGTGGTCACTCGCAGTCACAGATCCAGCCATGACCATTTAAAAACAACTTAAAACTATAAAAACTTTGTGTGACAGTCTGTAAGTGTGAACAGTTTGGACTGGTGTGTAAACGGACGTGTGTGGGTGAGGATTTACCTCGGCTTTGGTGGTGGTCACAACCTCCTGATCAGGATCCTGGTCCAGACTGACGAGCTGGATCTTCTGCACAGACTGATGAGCTCCTGGCCCTCGGTTCAGAAACCTGGTCCTGCCCTGCAGAGAGGGGCCTGATGGGATACCAGAAGAATGATTAGAGGCTCGTGAGTCTGATCATTCAAAATAAAGACTCATATAAACAATCAGGTGTTTAATGTCGTGCCAAACACATGTGCACGTTATGTATTAAAAAGCTGCATGTCCACAGAGTCAGAGGCTCGCCGCTCCGAGTCAGCCCTCCTTACACCGACGGCTGACACAGTAGATCATCGTAACAGCTAAGCTGGATTTGAGTGTTTGGACAAACAGACTTCATCACAGGTGAACAGGTACAAATCACCACCTACTGACCAATCAGATCTCCAGAAAACAGCCACTCCTGGGAGATCCCTGAGACGTGTGTGCCGACAGTCTAACGCAGGGGTCCCCAATCCCAGTCCCTGAGGGCCGGTGTCCTGCAGGTTTTTAGATGTGTCCTTGATCCATCACAGCTGATTTAAATGTATAAATGACCTGCTCAACATGTCTTGACTTTCTCCAGAGGCCTGGTAATGAGCCAATCATGTGATTCAGGTGTGTTGACCCCGGGTGAGATGTAAAACCTGGGATTGGGGACCCTGCTCTAACGTCTGATATCAATTCTTAAAGGAAACTTTGTTTTCTGTTGGCTGCAAACTATTTTACAGCACGTAGTTGTAACCTGTGTGTTGTGTTTATCACTGACAGTCAAACCATCAACCAGCACTGAGGCTACAGTAGCTCCGCCCCACTCTACTGAGTGCTTTAACTGGACCAACCAATCAGCTGCTAGTACAATAACCAGTGTGACTGGTCACATGTTGTCCACACCGTGGATGAGGGAAGCCAGGGTCGTGGGTTTGTTGGGCCCTGCCCTGCTTTGTTACTGCGCAGCCGCCAGTACGTTCTCCTCCAGTGGCAGCCAACGAATCAGAGACAGGAGTGAAATCGCTGACTCAGGCACCGAGGTCAGAGGTCAGCGGTGTGTTTACTATGGACTACACGATAATCAACCCACAGAAACAGTGGAACTGCAAACATATCCCTCGGGTGTGAGTACGCCTGGATATAATAAGCCCGTGGCGTTGACACTCGAGTCCACCAAGCTACAGAGGAGGACGCTCCAAACACAGGACAGGCCCGCGGCCAAACACGAAAATCACCGAGTGCCCAGTGGACTGTGTCACGCTGAGTCACGGCACACTGCCCTCCCACCGCGTCCTGATCGTGTCTGCCAGCCTGTCCTATGACGGTAATGCTTCACCACCCGGTGCCGGTGCTACATACCCGCCTGCGAGTCCCTGCTCTGCCGGCTGAAGAGGCGAACCCCGGGAAAGCGGCTGCTGATGGAGCCCTCTGCCCCCCTCACCCTGTCCGCTCGGTACCGGGCGATCTGCAGCTCCAGCAGCTTGATTTTCCTCCTCAGGAACTCGTTCTCCTTCTGGCTCCGGGACATCTCCAGGTGAACCACCGCGTATCCATCGTCCACAACTTTACAGATTTCCGCCACGGCCGCGTTAGCCAGCACCTCCATGATGGAGGCGATCTGAGAGTGGAAGTCCACGGCGGCAGACATCTTCAGACCTTCGGCCCTCTCACAGAAGGCGGAGCCTGTGCGTTGTTACTGCTGCTATCTGACATGCATAACCCGGGACCACCACCTGCACCTCGGCTCACAGGACGGACGCTCTTCGGAAGCTTTAACGTCGACGGAGCTTTTCCAGAAGGAACCCCGGCGATCAGCACACAGCGCCCCCTGCGACCAGGGGCGGTACTGCCTGTGAGCGCTCACCACAGCCAGAGCTGAGAGGACTCCCCGCGCTGCTGCACGAGAGCACACAGCCAGCCCACGCTGCAGTCACGGACCAGAGTTCACAACAGCACGAGAAGCACCGTGGAGTGGAAACTACGCATCCACGGGTGATGCTGATATCAGGGGGCAGTGACACGAGCTGTAGCACGTGACGGGTTGTCGGTGGGCTGCTTTCATGATTTGTGTGTAACAGTGAACAGCTGTAAAGGGACAGAATGAAAAGATGAAATCCTTGGTTATGACATCAAACTACAGAAACCTGTGAAAACGAGGAGAAGCACAGAGCTGTGGGTGGACAGTCGCCCAGACAGCAGCACTGCCGTGGGGTGTATCTTCCATTACTGCTTCTTTTCTACACCGGCACACAGTCACACAGACATGGACCAGTGTTACAGTTCTGTCCACATCTGTACTGCCTCACACACAGCATTTATTGTAGCAGTTTCATGTCAGATTAGGGAAAAGGATCAGCAATGGGCTCTTTGAGCTCTGCAGCCGGACGACGATACAAGACCACGGGTCAGTTTGCAGCTCAGACATCAGAGCAAGAAAGGAAAGGACAATGGTTTCAGAAAATCCAGCAAACACAGAGAAATGAGACGCACAGTTTTCATTCAGGGCCCTGTGACCACTGTGCGAAGGACAGGCGTCACTGAAGTGACCCAAAACCACAAGAAGACAAAGAGGCAGCCAGATCCAGAGATGGGCAGTAACGCGTTACTGTAATCTGTGATCAGTGGCCAGATCTCAGTGAGCTGCTGCAAACGGAGCTCTGCAGCCATGGACGCTTGTCAGCAGCTGAGATTTAGTGTTGCTGGTTTTGAACATGCTGGATCATCCCCATACCAGCTGATGGCGCTAATGCGCCGTTTTGCTGTTTACCAACCTCCAATGAAACTTTAAAAACCCAAGAAGTGCAGCCCCCCCACCCTCCCCGCCAGGAGACACTACGGGAGTTTAAAGTAACGCCTAAATCTCGCGATGTTTGCCTCCAGTTGCTCTTTGGGGGGGATTACAGGCGAGTTGCACAAGGTCAGTCGAGCCGGTGTAGAGGCGAGCAGGTCGGCGTGTCCAGGCTTTGCGTTGTCCGCTAAATCATCTCCAATGGCCAGAGGAAGCCGCAGCCGTCCCTCGGCTCCAGCCAGGTGAGACTGTCACAGTACCTGTGTGTTAATATCTCAGCGCTGCTGCTGCATTAGTGCAAACGCAGCGCTGATCCCGCCGTACACGTGACTTTCACGGTGACGTGCGCCTGAAACACTGCTGACATTTTTCTGCGTCACAAAAGGTGAGTGAAGCAGCTTCAGCTAGCAGCTCTGAGCTTGGACAATTACACAAATATTAAAAACATAATTTGATCATCTGAACTAAAATGTGTTTAATGCTAGCCTGAATTCAGCTGTTGAAATAAGAACAGCACAGTTTTCACCTGTCGTCATATCTGATGTAATATTCAGTTCAACAGGTACTGACACCTCTCCAAATGAAATAAATGATCCAGTTATGAAGCTGAACTTTAGTCAGGAGCAAAGAAACCAAACACTAACATTTAGGAATGAGCGAAGTGACGTGTGACTTCCGGACTGAATGCATTCTGGGATGTTTGGCTGCACTGAGTCCACGCAGGCAACCGCCATCAATGCATCCTGGATAGGACGGGAGGAGCCGGAGCACATCTGGGAATTTGAATTGCGACGGATGACATATCACAAATCCACAAAGCATGCTAACCAACTCTGATGTGAAGCCTACCCTCAGAAACTAACAGCAGCACAGAGAGCGTTCAGCAGCTGGAAGCTCTTGTCCTGCTAACAGCAGTGTTGCATGACTGTTTTTCTCCTGTCTGTAGCCCAGCTCCATCCCACGCTCCAGCTCCTGTTCATGCACCTCCGGCCTCGCTGGCCCCAGCTCCTGCTCAGTCCCAGGGTCCAGGACTCATGGCCCAGATGGCTACCACAGCTGCAGGAGTAGCTGTTGGCTCAGCTGTGGGCCACGTGGTTGGCAGCGCCCTCACGGGAGCATTCGGTGGGGGCAGCAGCAGCAGTCCAGAACCAGCCAAAGCTACATACCAGGTAAGAGGTGGTTGGAAATGCCGCCCAGACAACGCCCAGCATGCCTCAGCTCTAATGTTGCAGCTGCTGTGGTTTGAAATGCCACGAGTGTGACGTTTCTTTATGCTCTCATTCAGGAGCCCCCCCGGTCTGCTCCAGCCCAGCCGGGCCCCTGTCACTTTGAAGTCAAACAGTTTCTGGATTGTGCCACCAACCATACAGACCTCACTCTCTGTGAGGGCTTCAACGAGGCGCTCAAACAGTGCAAGTTCTCCCATGGTAAGTCTGGTAAAGGAGGCGTGGAGCCTCATACTGCAGCTCTACTCGGAGCACGCCACGAAAACCTGCAACAACAGCCCACCGGCTTCATGTGATTGCCCTGAGTCACGTGATCAGTGGGGGTGGGCAGTCAGTGGAAAACAAACATTCAGGACCTCTAATCGATCCTGGTTATTTTGGTTCCCTCATTAGGAGCAGTTCCCTTTAAAACAAAGTGCGCTGATGGTGTCAGGAGACGACTGATGTCTGCAGGGCGCTCACTCGTGTTTGTTTGTGATTGTGCAGGTGTGACATCGCTGGTGTGATGAACGGACCCCCACAATCATGGTGAAGATCACGTGACACTAACGGGAGCGCTGTCCTTCAGAGAGTGTGTGTGTGTGTGTGTGTGTGTGTGTGTTGACTGTACAACAGTGATGAACTCTTTAATAAATAGCTGCTGTTGACGTCACGTGTTGGTCTGTCCTACTTTGGGATGCTGCAGCGAAACAAATGTTCACTTCCTGCTTTGATTATTTTCAGTGTGGGAAACTGATGATGATGATGATGATGATGGGTAAACACTGTGAACCTTAAAGGTTTGTTTGCTGGATTGGTGCTGTAAGTCTGCTAGCAGCTGGATACTCACAAGTGTGTGTGCCACACACTGCACTAATGTAAACAGCACACAGATCTGAACATTACAGAAATGTTTTCACATGAAAGCTGCATTTTAAATTTCACCAGGTGTTTTTTAATAGTCCCGTTAAATTTGCAAAAAACCCACAAAATGAATCGAGCCTTTGTGAGATCTGCAAACAACAGCTGAGCGTCCCTGTATAGATGTTTGTTTGAAAGAAGCAGCCAGTAAGGTTGCACAGAGGTCGTGTGTGTTAGCTCCCAGCATGAGCCACACAACACTGCTTTCAAAATAAGACTGACTGTAACTCCAGAAACACTGAATCTAACAGATCGTTATCGTTGCAGCTCTGCCCGACACACGTGCTGTGTGTCTGAATGATGTCCTGTGTGGCAGCAGAGCTGAGTCTCTTTGCTGCACTGCCTGTTCAGAGGTTGGTGCAGATCATCTATGATGGATACCAGTTTGTTCAGGGCCCTGCTCCCCACCACAGCTTCCAGTTTGCAGCACAGAGGCAGCCTTCATTCAGTTTGTTGGTGTGAGCCGATCTCCCCGCAGTGACTGAAAAGCAAACACCTCATCACCTTCTTGTTGCAGCTTCTGTGTTGCTCGTCCCTCCTGTCGATGTGGTCGTCCCAGGATACATGTAGGTCATGTCATCCCCCCTGAAGCCCTCTTATTCTCATGCAGGAGTCTGTTCCTCCCAGCCACTGCAAACTCTTTGTTACCAAATTCCATCATCATTCAACTGCTGGAGCAAAAATGATAGCAAATAAGGATTTATGAAATCTTTCTGATAGCGCTAGTCCTCCGTTTAATTTATATAGCTCCAAGTCACAACAACAGTTGTCTCAAGGCGCTTTATATCGTAAGGTAAAGAAAACCCCCAAAATCATGTGACCCCCTACGAGCAGCACTTTGGTGACAGCGGGAAGGAAAAACTCTCTTTTAACAGGAAGAAACCTCCAGCAGCACCAGGCTCAGGGAGGGGCGGGGCATCTGCTGCGACCGGTTGGGGTTAATATATTTAAAATGCAAACGCTCCCTAATGACTGTGTGAAGGTCTGATCTGGAACATCCCTGAAAGCGATTTTTGTGATTCAGTCCACTTTTCTCTTTGCAGCACAAACAGGAAACGAGCTCCTACGGAGCCCTGCAAGGTCCACTAGAGAAAGGAACTGAAGCTGTGTGAGATCCTGCAAGAGTGTTTTAAGTCCACGTGCCTCCAGGTCAGCACTGAGACCTCGGAAACAACCACCGCGATGGAAGACGCTTGGCCTGAACTATGAGCACATTAAACCAGCCGTCCGGGACAAAGTCTTCCCTGTCAGTCTTGGTTAAGTTCACTAACAGTGCTCTGGACAGTCCCGTGCGAGGCTCCGTAGGGCTTCATAAGAACCTGGTGTTTAACAGTCCACGCTGAAGTTACCTGGTCTCCGTGAGTGCTCGCGCTTGTTTCGTTTTGACTTGAAGCGTGGGAGCACACACACTGCAGCCGTGGACGGTCTCGTTTATGTTTAAACACATTTGTCCAGGTTTGTAGACGTGAGAGCGGCTCTGCCCAAAGTGCTCACATCACTTTCTGGACCCCAACCAGCAAGCCGACGATCCAACATGCGGGCAGTCATGTGAGTGCTGGTGGTGGGGAGGGGGCCAGTCATGTGACTGGGGGGGGCTGTGATTGATGACACCTGACGTCATCAATCACAGTTGTAGTTTCCCAGCCCAGGTAAAGAGTTAAGGTTTTACATGTTTACTTCCGGGTTCGCCAGCTCTTACGACACATCCGTCTCAGCCTCCCACGGCCACGTCCGTGCGAGCTCCAGCAACATGCCTTTCATCGAGCTACAGAGCAACCTGCCCGCCGGCCAGTTCTCGGAGGCCTTTCTGAAGAGGCTGTGCTCCAGCACCGCGGCGGCTCTGGGGAAACCCGAGGACGTGAGTACGGCACACACACGAACCCAGCCCGACCTCCAGGCTGACAGGCCCGCGAGCGAGCGCCGCACACCGAGGATACGTGTCCGCTGATCAGCTCTCTCATCACCCTCTCAGCCCTGATCCACGTACGACAGGTGACCAATCACAAGCACCGATCGGGAAGAGTTGGATATGACGCGTGAATGGGTGAAAGTCACGCGCAGTGAAAGAGCGTCAAAAGTGTTTTTACACGCGTCGAAGAGCCGCTTTGTCAACAAAGTTGATTCAGTATCACAGCTCCATCAGCAGGACACAGCACAGGCTGATAGCGCTGGATTATAGTCACGTGTCTGAAACGAGGGTGTAGTTTCTATTCTTGCAGCTGCAGCCTCTGGATCACGCGTGGGGACCTGCAGGTTTTAGATCTCACCTGAATCGCACGGTGAGTTTGTTACCCGGTGTTGTGCCAAAAACGGATTTCCAATGTGTCTGTGTATTTTTTATGAGTAAAATCTTTACATGTGTTGGTAATAGACTTCGGTGAACAGGGTTTACAAAAGGATTATAAATTGAATTTAAAAAATATCAGTTTTTCAAGTATCTGTATAACTCTGTGTTACTGTAGTTACTTTATAACAAATTCGGTCCTTTAGCCCCACTTAAAATATGTTTACAGAACTATTGTAATGTTTGCTGCCATTTCTGCTGTCCTCTTGGCCAACTTACTCTTACAAGAGACTTTTAATGTTAATGAGAATTGCATAAATAAAGGTCATATAAAAGTCACTGCCAAAAACTGATTGCGGCTTCTACCTTGTTACACAAATGTTGTTTGTGGCCCAAGATGGCTTTATGTTATCCATGAGGGATCCATTTGACATATGTTTCACATATTATAGCCCAACAAGTTATTTATAGCAGTTTAAATACCACCAATCAGTTTTTGGCAAATACCGGAAATCAATTTTTGGCAGACAATCACTATTTGGCACAACACCGGCCTCTGGAGAACCTCAAGACATGCTGAGGAGGTCATTTAGCCATGCAGATCAAGGACGCGTCTAAAACCTGCAGGACACCGGCGCTCGAGGCCTGGCGTTCCCCACACCTGCTCTGATGTAAAGAATAAAGTAAATGCCCAATTCCAGCTGTAGCCAGCAGCTACAAACGCACTCCGTGTAGCACCACTCAGGCTTGGAGAGCTATAAAAGCTTTAAAGCCAACAAGCAGTGAAGCTGCTAATAAGAATCCACATTTAATACTGATGCTCATCAGAGAAACACAAAGACTTTGGACAAACCTGGATGTCGCGGTGATGTTCTGGAGATCTGCTGTCAGTGTTTTTGTCTGCATTTGTACCAGAACTGTGACTGACCGAGTGAAGAAGAGCACGCTGCTAAAACTCGTTTCCATGGAGCACATAATATTAACATGTATGTGCATTTGCTTGAACTCTTGTTTTTTACCAAACCTAATGACATGCTGGCAGAGACCGCTCACATCTGGAGCCCGGACAGAGGACGATGTCTCACCAGTTTACAGGAGAGCAGTTAAACTGGGATACTGTGTTAGGTCAGGGCTTGTCAGCATGCAGTTCAATGTGCCACAAGTAGCTTTCAAATACCTATGAAAATATAGATTTCATCCAGCAGATCAGGTTACTGTGCTAGCAGCGAGGAACGTGGCTAATTTCACACAGCTTTGTCTCAACTCAAAAAGAAGGAAAAGCTAATGATAAAAATTTAAACCTTCTCAGATAAGAAAGACTTGCCAACAAACAACGCAGAAGTATGGAGAGCAGAATGTTCGTACAGGGCGTCGCTTCACCTTCGGTCAGGGTCATAGCCACTGTAGGAGGTCAGAGGTCAGAGTTACTGTGTCCACCTCCACAACTTTTAAACACTAATATTTTACCCCTCAGAGATGTACATGAAAGAATGTGACTCTGCTTAGAGAAACACGAACTGTTCCTTTGCACAAAGTCTGATAACACCAAACTATTGAACACTGTATTATTCAGTGGATTAACTGCACTGATGCTCGTGACCGTGTTTAAGGCTACGTCATGTTTTGCGTGTGCAGCGAGGACACAGAGGAGTAACTGGTGCACCTGTGCTGCCCTCTGTGGAAGTAAGCACACTTAGTTTGTTTGATGAAGCCTCGCCCGTGCAGCCTTCTTTCTCAGTCGGGCTTCAATGCGAGTGTCTGTGTCTTTGGTCCAGCGGATGAACGTGGTGGTGACGCCGGGGCTGCCGATGCTGATGGCAGGTTCCACCTCTCCGTGTGTGATCCTGTCAGTGTCTGCTATCGGTGTGACTGACACCGCCGAGAAGAACAAGGAGCACAGCGCCAAGATCTTTGAGTTTCTGACCAAGGAGCTCGATCTGAGCCAAGACAGGTGAGCCTGCTGTGCACACTCGCTGTAGTTACCTGTTTACTGAGGCTGTCTCCTTAACAGCTTGACAGTGATCACATGTAAAGGCTGTGAATGTTAATGATTCACTAACTGAATAAACTAACGGACATGAGCCGCTGAGCCTTTTCTGAATGTAGACAGCTGTTGTATAAATATACTTTGGAAAGAAGAGCGTGTACGTTTACTACTCTGCAGAATGCTATAAAGTCAAACTGGGCCCGATCCCAGTTTGAGGAGTCATCCGAAGCAAACACAGCAGCCATCCTGCCCAGCGCTACCATCCAGCGCGGGCTCAGACCCGCCGTGTTCCCAGGAGGCAACAAGCATCGAAGGCGTTTGGAAAGGGAGGGGGGATGAGTGTGTGCATATCAGTGTATATGTATGTGTGGGCGTGTCCAGAGTTCAGCTGAGACAGTGTCCTTCGCCCTGCCAGGCTCAGTAAACAGTCTTCCAGCCAACCCAGGTGGCCTTGCATGGGATGGGAAGAACAGACTAAACACAGTCGTTATCAGGGTGTTGTTGTTCAGCTCCAGCCTTGAGACCGCAGCTGGCGCCGAGAGGGTATCCGCATGAAGTGATGGTGGTTTTTACTTTAGTGCGAACAGCTCATATGAATTTCAAAGCAGTTCTACAGTCCAACACTGGTCTCTCAATCTCCCGTTGGAGAGCCGCGAGCTTCGCCATACTTACGTTCTGTGATGTTGTCATTCTTGTGCTCAAAGAGCCGATTCTGAGAACTCACAACAGTGGGCCTCCTCGAGATGTCATCCAATTTGGGCTCAGAGATCTTATTCTGAGTATTCACAGCAGCCGTAAGCTTCTCCAAGATTTTATCCATGCTGCGTTCAATGAGCCCATTTTGAGAAACTCACGCCTCTTCCATCGTTCCAATCCCAGCGGGCAGCCTTGTGGGGGTTTGAACAGCTGGTTCCGCTTTCTTAATTCTTCGATAAGTCAGGGCCAAGCCAGCTCCGATCAGCAAGAACCCTGTTACCATGGTTCTGAATAGGTAGATATCTTCAGCACTCAGGCTCACCCGAGCCCAGACTTCTCGTTGAGAAAGGGGTGTCAATTGCATTCAGGGACCAGTTGATCCAACCCATAATTCTCTTTTAGGTTTTAGAGAACAGACTGTGAGAGTGTTCCACGGAAAAGTAATAAAAAGTAATACAAAAAAACACGAGACTAGACAAGGACACAAGAGGCTAAGCAGGGAAGCTAAGGGAGAGGAGAAAAGTGCGACCGCCTTCGTCAAGAGCTAGAGCACTCGCAACAATCAGAAAACAAGCCCAAATCCTCACCTCTGCACCACCGTGCTCCACAACACTGGTGCAGAGGTGTTCGATGTGCTGTGTTTGTGCTTCTTCCTCCTGTTGTTGCAGATCATCTGGACACATGTGGAGCATTTCCCATTAGGATGATGTAGAGAACTGATTTGGTAGAAAGATTGCTTCCAGGGCCGGTCTTCTGTCTGGGATGATGGTTTAAACACAGTAAGCATTAGTGCTGCTGTCAGCGATGAGTGTGCTGCTCTCATGTGGATGTGCAGACTGACTGCTGTGTTTGATTGGCAGGATTGTGATTGTGTTCAACGCGCTGGAGCCTCACCAAGTGGGGAAAAAGGGAACCGTCATGAGCTTCCTGTGAAGGCTCGCCTCCCTGAACGACCGGCTGTACCACATCAGCACCCGCCCCCTCTGCACAGTCGTTTAAAGGTCACGTGCTTCATTTTCACACCATGATCATTTCTGCTGTCTGAACCAAACCCAAGCTCTGCGACTGTTACATTCGCTTGGTTTCTATACTTGTTACGAAGAAGCGCACAGAGAAAGAGCTCTAAAGTTTGAGTTTTGATGTAGCAGAGGGCTCCTCTGGAAACAATGTTACTGTGATGTGGATGAAATAAACACAGTTCACTTATGTGTGTGTGTGTTTGCCTTCTTTCACATGTTAGCAGACACGTGTGAGCCATCACTGCACGTTATACATCTGCTGCCAGATTCTCAAAGCTCAGCTTCACCTGAAAATGTTCATTGTTTCGTGTGTTCAGCAGGTTCGATGTGCATCTTTGCACATTGGTGATTTCAGTCGTTAAAGAAGTGCGACGTACAGCTCGTAGCTCCTGGCTCACACACATCAGTGAGAAAGGTGCCACTTTTTACATGCATATCCTAAATGTGTTAATATTCCTTATCTAAAGAAGACATGGCTAAATGCCTCGTCCTTACTGAGCAACACGTCTCTATGTGTGAGAGCAGAGGAAAGCTCCTGTGTTGGCTGAGGTAGAGGACCGTCTCCATTTGCAGTAATACTCAATCCTACAGTTGGAAATGTACTGGAAAAGGTGAGTTTAATCTAAGTGATGAACATCAGTGTGAAGGGTTTAGTCTCTAGAATCTGGGTTAGAGAATAACTGGATGTTCCAAACAAGCTGCTTTGGCCTGACTAACACAATGATGAGCTGTAAGACTTCACCAGCTGAGTGAACACGGGTACATTTATGAAGGCAGTCCATGCTAGCAAGTGTTTGTCATAGGAGGTTACTGACCCTCATCTGTCCCTGAAAGAGCAACAACAGGAGCATAGCTCTGAGTTATGTAAATGCTCAGATGACCTTTCACCCAGTGCTCTGCAGCTCAGAGAGCAGAGAGATGGAGCAAGAGGACTCCCCGTTGGACTGAACTCCCTGAATCATCTGGCTCACAGCAGCTGTGAGACGAACCTGCAGAGAGCCCCTGATATTAAACGTCACAGTGTATGAGCAGGAAACACTGACTTTTAATGCAGCCAGAACAAGACAAAAACGTAATCACGCAGGTCACCAGTTATCAGTGGAGACGTGACTGATCTTTGGTTAGGGCCATAATAAAAGTTAACGAGGAACAAAGTTAGGATCTCGGGTGATTTTTCAGACGTTCAGCTGGTCGGTTTAGGAGCCTCTGTCTCAGCCTCTCCCAGCATCCCCCTGTGTGACACCAACACCCCTACATCCATGAACCTCCTCTGAGGTCTTCCTCTTTCCCCCGGCCTGGCTGCTCCATCTTCATCATCCTGTGTCCAGTACATCCACCCTCCCTGCTCTGCACATGTGCAAATCATCCCAGCCTCTCTGACTCTGAGCTGTTCCTCTGATGGACTCATTTCTAGTCATGTCCATCCTGCTCACTCCCAGTGAACACCTGGACATCTGAATATCTTCATGCTGTGGCTCATCAGCCCTCTGTAGTTACTGCAGCTCTGTACATCACCCTGGTGCTTGCAGATCTGTACCAGTACAGTTCTCCTCCTGTGAAAATCCTGGTTAGTCCACTGTCCTCCTAAACAACCGACTCCACAGGATCGTCCTCTAGAGTAGCCTCTTCATAGCTGCCCTCACCTCCTCCTTACTAATCCTCTGCTCTTCCTAGCTGTCCTCCACTTTCTTCATTCATCAGCTGATTAAAGCACTTCTTCCAGCTTTTCAACACTCATCGCTCTTCAGTACATTCACATCTCAATCCTGAAATGCCTTCACTTCAGGCAGATGCTCTGACCATCAGCCAGCGGTGGGGCTGCTCTTTAAAGACTCCAGCTCCATTTGTGCTTGGTTCTGCTGTGTGAACACAGACAGAAGCTCCTCCTAGATGTTACCACTCGCGCCTCTCATCACTCCTCACCACATCACCACAGCAGCTGTGATTCACAAGATGAAAGCCACACTCTCCACACATGGCATTCCGAAGAAAGTCATAAGCGACAACGGACCATGTTACAGCTCACAAGAGTTGAGACGTACTGGGGATTCCAGCATATTACATCAAGCCCACGTTACCCCCAGAGCAACGGCTTAGCTGAAAAGACTGTCCAAACTGCACAACGTATTCTGACAAAAGCAAAACAGGACAGGATGGATCCCTACTTGAGCTTGCTGGAGTACAGGAACACACCTGTTGATGGCCTTAAATCCCCCAGCCCAAATCCTCATGAGCCGTAGATTGTACTCCGTTTTGCCCTCAACAACTACACAGCTCCGCCCTCAGGTCACCCCACAAAGCCTTGTGCAAGAAAGACGGGAGGAATGTCAAC